TTCTTTCCTCTATTGTTGCTGAGGTTCTACGCGCCGCCAACACCATCCACAAAAAAACTTCTACTTATCATCCCCAAAGAAATGGCTTGACGGAACGCTTTTATCGTACCCTCTCGGACATGATTGCCATGAACGTCAACCCTGACCACACGAACTGGGACGCCATTTTGTTATTCGTAACGTTCGCCTACAATACGGCTACGCAACGCATCACCAGCTTTTCTCCCTATTTTCTGGTCCATGGCCGTTCTCCAAGTGTCACTCTGGGCGTCTCCTTCCTTTCGGCTCGTGTTACCTCAGCAGGCCTTTTATCCGCACAATTTTGGTCTCGCCTTGAGCACTGCCGTCATCTGGCCCGAATCAACACCGACATCTCTCAGGAAGCTCGCAAGTCTCGCTACGACTCAACTCTACGTGCTCTCACCTTTTCCCCAGGAGACGAAGTTCTCCTGTGGACTCCCGCGTGTGTGCCCGGCTTATGTGAAAAATTCCTCAGTCGTTTTACAGGACCTTATATGGTGATTGAACGAACGTCCCCCGTTAATTACCATATCTTACCACTTAACGCTCCCTCATACCACCGTTGCCGTGGGACAGAAATTGGGCACATTTCTCGACTGAAACTGTATACCCGACGCAATTCCTAATATTATCTCTCGCGCGGCCAGGAGGCCGCTTCCAGCGTGACGGGGAATTAGTGTGTGCGCAGTCACCGAATCTTCTTTATAAATTGGACATGTCATCATCATTTGTATAGTTTCCTCAATATATATATATATATATATATATATATATATATATATATATATATATATATATATATATATATATACATAGGGAGAGAGAGAGAGAGAAACAGAGAACTTCAAGGACACACTCGCAGTTGCATACAAATTTGCATACACACAGCTGACACGACTCTCTTTCTTGAATACCACAAAGTTTTTAGCCCAATTTCTGCGTCCAAAATATGACGCTCACCTTGCCATCACGACTCTTTTTCCAATTATGCTTTGGCAGTTAACATCGAGATACCACAATGGTTTGTTTAATATATTTACCATGGATGTTAGTTGTCGGTATGGAGATGTACCAAGCGTCAACGAAGATACACCCACGTTGAACGGGGCTTTAGTTTCCAAACACTAAGACATACATTCGGCACACCCTCCTCTATCAATGAACAGTAAACATTTTGTTACCCCTGTAAAGGCGCGTTTTACTTTCTTGTCATAGGCCGATGTTCATGACGAAGGGCTCAACCATGTTTTCTCAACTAGTGATTGCTGTTAAACATTTTTTACAAGTATTACACTTTCTTGCATATATTCAGGCTTGTGTGTATATTTTATTTTAGTGTGAACAGTATTTTTAGAGCATGCAACCAATAATATAATTGCTATTGTTATATTACTGTAAATAACTTATTTTCACCTTGTCAGCCTTTTCATTTAAAAATGTATAATTTAAATTGTTAGGGGCATACTACATTGTTTACACTCATTGTATTTATATTGACATTTATAAGGGGCCCCCAGGCAGCTGCACAAATACTCCAATATAAACGGGCTAAGCAAATTTTTTTCTTTGCAAGAACAAAATTTGTGTGAATATAACGTTAAACTACCCTGGTTGCTCCATTTCTAAATGGTTGTTAGCTGTATATGGGTGGTGTAAACATTCTTTGTGATGCACACAGCAGCAGCTTGTTACGCGAGGCAAAAATCGAAGCAAAAATGATCCATCACGTAATGACCACTTATGAACGACCACGTGAAGAATAAAAGGATAATCTGTTTTCGATACGACTGTTTGTTTGCCATTGGTTCTTCAGTATTTAAAATTTTCTGCGGGACAATATCACCTCCTTGTTCAATGACGTCATAAAGTGTGAGAGAATATCTCCTTCTAAATGTAATTCAAGTAGGTTAGCCGCCAATCACATAAGCAGCGACTATTTATTGCAGGTGGCGAGATAGATTATGAGTATAATAAAATATTTATGCTTGCAGCATAACACTGTTTAGTAGTTTGTGTGCGTATTTATTTCTGTGAGCTCACACTTTCTGAGAGAAAGAGAAATAGAAAGAAATAAGCAGCACTGCACGATTGTGCTTCTTTGCTGTCCAAGATGTATTTTAACTAAGCCTCAATTGTGCTACAAACTATGGTCTCTCACCTTCTCCCTTGTCCTGCGGGTCAAGTTGTGGGGCAAGCTTACAAGCTGAGCTTCCTAGTGAGCCCGAGTGCACTGCTTTATTCATGGCCACTTTGCAAGTTGCCGCTGTTGCTCAAAGTTACAATAAGCAAGGCTGATCAGGTTTATCAGAGAATAAAGTGGAAGCAATTTTTGGCATTTCAGTATGGAAAAACCTAAACATCAGAAACGATTCGCCACTCTCATCAGCTCGCAACAGCTTCGACAGAGCAGCGGTGAAGATATATCCGTTTCGAAGAAAATCATTTTCTGGAAGTAGCAAGTGCTTTTACCGGTTTTAAAAAAGTTTGCTCGTTCCCAGTTGTACCTGCATAAACAAGTCACAGCAGAATAAAAGCATGAACATAGGACGTAATCTTATGTGGCCCCTGTTCAGCACTTGCCTGTTCTGCATTACTACAGCACAAGACGCGAAAGCGTCGCATAGGCGACCCGCACCGCAAAAAGCCTGCAAGAAAAATTATTACAGCGAAAATATGGGCGAAATTTCACTCTGTTGTAACATTTTCTCGTAACATTTTCATTCTTTCGTCAGAACATAACTGAGTGATTACTGTTGCGACGGAACACTTCGCCTTACTTGGTGGTTTCCCCAGCGTGCAGCCAAGAGGGACCATTGTCTAAAAAAAAGGGGGGGGGCAGCGCCCCCAACGTTTTTCAGTGAGGGGGCGGGGGAGCTAGCGCTCTCTCTTGCCTCTGCGGCTAAAACGTCCATGTTGACAGCTCACCTGGTCTTCGTCCTACCATACAATACCCACTAATATCGAGTACGTATATAGTTCCGCCAAGATTTGCCCCTGATAACAGCGTCAAATTTCGTGAAACCATCAAAATTTTTTCTTTTTTCAGTTAGAAGGGCCAGAATAGGGGCTAGTTGTTTGTACATGGTCGGCACTTACTACACGCTAGAATTGAACACTAAAAGACAAACACACACACGGCTGCCGTTATGAAAACTTGTTTTCATAGCGTCCGCGGTATACCACCCGCGGCTCGAGCGCATGCAAGGTGTTAATAATTTACGTGCCAAAGCCATCATGTCATTAGAAGGCACGCCGTGATTAGAGACTGCAGATTGATTCAGGCCACCTGAGTTTTTTTTAACGTGCACTTAAATATCTTTTGAAGTGTAAGGCGTGACGACAACGGACAGAGGGCCCACACACACCGAGCGTCACTTCTGTTTACATGGAGCGTCATACCACCCTACACGTGTATTATGCAGCACCAGTGCGCCCTGTCTTTTATTTTTGCGCCAAAATCTGAGCGCATTGTTACTGCGTTTCGCTCCCTTGGAAACGCAGCTGACGTATACGGGAAATGAACTCATGACTTCGATCGTAGCATCGCTACAGCTCAGCATGCTAACTTATCGGTGAGTGTTACTTGCAAGACCTGTACGTTTAAACGCTCAGTGCGAACCCACCACATAAAGCAGTTTACACTGAGTGGCGACGAGTGGTTAACAGCCGTCAGCTGCAGGGCTCACACTACGGTGTTTTAACAGTGGTGTATTAAACTAGTGAGCTCCGCCGTTTTCACACTACCAATGGTCGTCTCGGAAAGCTAGAACATAATCGAGCAATGTACAGCGGTTGCCTATTTGCTGTAGTTTCAGTATACAAACGAGCTTTCATTTAGTATGAGCCCGGCCATCGCGTCTCTTTCAGGGAATAGTGTGTAGTGCTGTGCACGACTAAAATAATTCAAAGTAACGAGACCGCGCAGTGCCGGCTAACTGCCATACTTCACTCTTGACGCCTTTTTCTTCTCTCACTGCTTGAATTGGCGACAGTAGCCGCCGTATTCTAGAACATCCCTTTACTCAACGCTTCACCTTCACTTGAGAAAGCCGATGGAAGCGCCGTCTCTAGGCACGGCAAGTCACTGCATATCAGCGATTATATGCTGCGATTCTTGAGCAGCGCAGCATCATTTTCGGCCGAGCAGCGGCGCAGTGCTCAACTCTGTCAAATGAAGGGTGAAAATGGAGTCGAGGAGCATTTCTGAATACGGGAGTAGAACTTAATGGGCAGTTTTCAGGTCTTTGTCATGTTTAAACTTCTGCAGCAGCTAACAATGCAGCAGTACAGAGTGCCTGCTTTTCAGGAAGGTGAAGGAGCGGCGACTATAGCGTGCAAAATGCGAGATTAGCGCCCAAAGGAACACGTGCACCGTGCGCGCAATGGGAAAACCCAGCAAGCGTGGCCTATCCTAGTGACCAGTGTTTTGCCCTCTTTCCGCTAGTGCTGCTATCGGGGCTGAGCAAACTTGAGCCTGGCTTCCTTATGGGGAAGCATCACTGCAACGCTTCTAGATGCGATGCGCCATGATGTGGTGGTGGCGTTGCTTCGAGCCACGCAAAAAGAGCACGAAGGAATGAATTTAAGAGCATACAATATTTTAGTGGGCAACACGTCTATCGCATCTTTGAGGAAAGCACTCGGAAGCACGTGTGGCGCAAGCAGCGCAACCCTTTATGAAGCGTCGCATCGTGACCATTCCCTAAACTAAGGCGGACAGACCATTCCGGTTGATAAGCGCGCGTTCACACTGACATTGAAATAAAGGTGGCATTGGCGTGACCATCACTCTGCAAATGCACGAACATGGTGTTACTATCATGCGCGTCGCTTCTACCGCCCTACTGTTTAAAAGTAGGAACTTAGCAGCAGTGTCAGAAAGCCAAAAAAAAAACTAAATGCGCATGCTCAATATTCTCTTCAAATAGAGCCATCAACCCGCCCGCTCCACACAGTGTTACTACACGCGAACACTTGCCATGTCTGTCCGTCTTATTCTCAAAGGATTGCTGTTCATTATGAACGTTATCTACTGGCTTATAGGTGGTGTAACTGCACTTACGGGCGGCTACCTCCTAACAGTCAAAGTACGAATTTTGCGCCGTTACGTGGACCTGACCTTCGACCCTGCTGTCTTCTTCATAGTCGTTGGCTGCCTGGTTTTCATCATAGCTGCACTCGGATGCGTAGGAGCTCTGCGCGAGAACAAGAACTTCCTGTGTCTCTACGGATTCTCGCTGTCCGCCATCGCTGTCGCGGTCGTCCTCGTGGCCGTGCTCGCCTTCGTGTGGTCCACCTCGACGCCGCCAAATAGATCAGGTGTCGAGAATATCTTGAGGCGAGCCGTCGTAATCTACAGGGATGATCCTGACATGGAACACCTCATCAACACGCTCCAGGCATCGCTTCGGTGCTGCGGTATCTCCTCCCGGGGCTATCTGGACTGGCACCACAACGCGTACTTCCACTGCTCTCGGTGGAACCCGAGCCGGGAACGCTGTGGCGTGCCTTATTCTTGCTGCAGGGAGCAGAGACGCCTGCCAATGTGATGTGCGGCTATGGCGTGACGGACACAACTAAACGGACGTTGCATTCAGTGGAGCCTGTGATATACACGCAGGGCTGCCTGAAAGCAGTGATCGCCTTGGCGAGAGAAAGCTCGGTGCTGGTCAGTGCGTTGTCAGCTGTGACAGTCGGATCACTGGCGGTAGGCATCGCGGGTTCTTGGCTTCTGATGAAGTCGATAACAAGCGAGAGAAAGGTGGCGATGAGAGAACGAACCACTTCTGCTGCAACGTCACAGCCAGAGTCGAGCGTCTGAAGGTCTTCATTGTTGAGAGTATCTGCCGAGATGCAGAGATGGTGGTTTAGCTTTCAATGTAAAGATAATTTTAGTGTGTTTTATTCATGCGTTCTTTTATTTGTAGTGTATCAATAAACTTCTTAAAATTGGTCTTTCCTTTTCTTGGGAAATTTCTGAGCTTGTTCTGTATTTACTAGTGATTTTAAGTGCGAAGCATTCCTTGGCAAGGCAAACTGCTATTTTGAGCATCTATATCTACATATATCTGTATCTAGCCGCATATATACGTTTGCGTAGTAGAGTATGGAGATAGCATATGAACACGACTGTCTAGCAGTCACATGAATAGTTTGAACATCTTGACGTGCACTTGATAAAACCATTGTTCTGTTCTCACGTATGGCAGATGCCCGTATACTACGGGCGGCAGTATGCACGTATGCGTCACAAGTTTTTTACGTTCTCCACATAACCAGTGATGGCGCGGACAGACATTGCTTATTTAAACGTCAGAGAGCAAAGAAATCGATGCATCAGTCACGTTGACCCAAAAACTGCAAAAAATTGAAATCGGTATGGCAATAGAAATCGAGCCAAGGCATTGTGTGTCAGTCAAGTACTTCAGAACAGGGCCGCGCCATGCCTTGAAACTGCTTTAGATCAAGTCCGCACGCAAGCGTTATGTGTGTTGATTGATTTATATGTAGGGTTTAACATCCTTAAATCGCCATATGATTATTAGGGACGCGGTAGTGGAGGGCGCCGGAAATTTAGACCACCTGGGGTTCTTTAGCGTACGCCCAAATCTGAGCACACGTGCCTACAAAATTCCCGACTCCATCGTAAATGCAGCCGCCACAGCCGAGATTAATCCCGCGACCTGCGGGTCAGCAGCCGAGTACTTTAGCCACTAGACCACCACCGCGGGGCAAGAGTTATGTGTGTGCAACTTCAATTGTGATAGCAGTGCTAGCTATCTGTTTTTTTTTTTTCTGAAAAAGTAATGAGCTATGCTTATGCGCTCCACTGCTATGATACGGGCGTGCTGTCGGATTAATGTCAATTTCGGACCCAGTGTTGCCTCCTCTGTTATATAACAGTCCAATGAACGCTACACATTTTATTCATAATATACGGCAGACCACGATTCTGTGTTTGTAGGAAGGGCACTGATTTTAAATACAGAACAAGAAGTGAAATACAAAATATGAATACATTTAGTCCAAACAATATACAAAAACCTCAGACATAATGCAGAAAGAACCCTAATATGTTAACAAGAAATTCTACATCACACCAATATATAATTACGACAATATGAAGATAATAGGAATCAGACACAATGAGTACAAAAAATACGGTGATACAAAGAATAAGACAGGGGTAATGAGCTACTGTAGGAAGGTTCATTCCTAGAGTTTCATTCTGACACAATGTTCTCGGAAAGAAAGAACATTTGTGAGCATCTGTCCTTGCAAAATGAGGGGCTAAAGCATGTGTGTCATCATCACAGATACGCCTCGTGAACAGGGGAGACACATATAACACATGGTCTATGAATAATTCAAAATTAATTATAGCTTGTAGAAAGTTTAGGCGCAGCATCTGGCGGCGTATTTCCAGCAGCCGTATGTCAATTTCTGTCATGAGCAGTGTGGGAGAATTGGTGTGCTCAAACTTAGAGTAAATAAACAGAACACCTTTTCTCCGAATTATATATAATATTTTAATGTTGTGTCTAGTGCATCCCAATAATGCAAGCGTACTCTAACTTGGGTCGGATTAATAACATATAACTGAGATGCTGGTAGGTGAATTTCGAAGTTTGTGTTTTAGGAAGCAAAGTTTACTGAAGGCGCAGGAACAAACATTGCTAATGTGTGTGTTGCACGATAAATTGTTCGTGACTGTTACGTCTAAGTATTTGAAATTTTCAACCTTTCTAAGGGGTGAAGTGGCCAGTGTGTAGGTGTAATTTAGTGGAATTTTCTTGCATGTTATATCAATATTGTCCTTGTTTGAAACCATGCCTGGCCTGACACACCAAGAGTGTATGTTCTTCAAGCTGTTTTATACATCAAAGGTCTGTCTGGTCATGCACTGTAGATATTTCCCGGAATGAAACGAAATCATCCGCAAACAATCTTACTGTGCACCTGGCATAACGAAGGTGACAATGCCATTTATATAAAGTAAAAACAACAGCTCCTAGAGGACGCTGCCCTGGGGTACACCAGTTGTTACTGGGAGACAGCTCGAAGTGATACCTTCAATGGCAAGAAACTGTACACGATCTGAAAGATACGCTGCTATTCAAGAGATTAAAATGCTTAAAAGATTGTAGTCTCTCAGTTGCTGAATAGGTTTATAATGAACCACGTGGTCGAATGCCTTCCTCAAATCTAAAAAAAGAGCGCCCACTTCACTATTGTTATCTAAACGTTTCACAAATGAATGGTCTACAGTTAACAGTTGGGGTGTAGTCCAATAGCCTTTTCTGAAGCTTTGCTGGCGATCTGCTAAAATTGAATTTATTTACAAAAACTCTGTGATTTAGTAGGCAAAAATATTCTCAAGTAGTTTGCAGCAAGACGAGTTTAATGATATTGGCCGATGGTTTAATACCGGTAAACGATTTCTCTCTTTAAAACAGGCACCAATCGAGCCGTCCTCTAGCTTTTAGGCACTTTAGACGAGAACAAGGAAGCTCGAAACAGTATAAAAAGAAACCGACCAATAACTTTGATGCATCTCTTCAGAAACGTAAATAAGATATCAACTGGGCCACATTATTTTGCTGCTTTTAAGTTCAAAAAAAACATTGACACTATACCACTGTATGAAATAAAGTCTACTTCATGCATCTCAAAAACAGTCGAATGAAACACTTTACTCATTTTGAAAAGGGCAGCACAACGACACGAGGAAAAAAAGACAGAGAGACAAAGCGCTGACTAACAACTGATCCTTCAAGGCCGTAACCTGCGCATATATATGTGCCACAAAATAAAAAGAAAGACACGTGATTGTGACGAGTATAAACGCAAGATAACAAGGTTGGTTTCAACCAGTGAAAGAAAATAAGAAACTTGAAACCATACGAACAATAAAAACATCTTAAGAAACTCACGCATGCGTGATGAGTGAGAAACACTTGTCTAAGACGGAACACGAACACAAAAGGTAAGAATCGACAATCAAACAAAACCTCTAAGATACATAATTTTTGCGTCAGACAAAGATATGGAAGGCCTGCTCACGCATTTATTACCTGCGTCTTTAATGAAAAAAGCCCCTACAATCCCACGCTCTCATTTATCCCTCGCTATCTTTAAAAACTGTGTGCTGCGAAAGTCGGGATAGTAGCCACGACGCCTGCAATGGTCAGCCAGAAAGCCACTTGTGTTTTTTTAAAAGTAAAACGAGAAGCTGAGAAGCCGTGCGAAATAGCGGGGTTCACTAGACTGGCCCTGTCGGTGAGGACGAGTAAAGGTACAAGCCTTTCTGTGTTCTTCATGGCCAAGATCCACAAAGAAACAGTGTCTTTTTTGAGTCATGATATCGGAGTGTGACTCTTGGCAAAAACTTGTTGGAAGGTATTTACTAATGCATATTACAGCCATCACGGGCACGCTATCCCATACGTTCATAAAATTTCGCATAATTGAAAGAGACTTGCATCAAAGCATGATTTTCAAGTTGAACTGTCCGCGTCGTGCAAGGTCTCAAGGTTATGTGGCATGACAAACAGAGCTAAACGCCCTGGATGCACAAAAACAAAACACAGGAACAGGTTCACGGAGTGCATTTCTAATGTGGTTATCAGTTTCGATTAAGTTGTGCGCTTAAGTACATTGGCCAAATGAGAGATGTTTTAATGAAAGGGCGAATGAGCATGAGTGTAATGTACACGCTGTTTCACACTTAGACGAAGTCTCGGAGTGCGTGGTATCGTGATGCGGCCAGCGCCGCAACCATGCGCCGTCAGCTGCTCGCGCGTGTGCAGCTGACTCAGGAGTGTAGTTTTCAACCGCGTCGTCTGCTACGACCGCTCTTGCTTTCCGCATTGTTGGCGAGTGCGCGGATATCATTGGTTTTTCGAGAACTGAGCCGATAATCGGCACTAAACGTTGTGTTACGTCTTTATGTATTTGCACACCTTATGATTAGTGTTTCAATGTCCTTTCTGTGCACTGCACTATCAAAAGGCCCAACTCTCAGCCTTTATTTGTGATAATTTATGTGCTACAAGCAGAATTTTACAGCATACCTTGTTTTTTCCTCTCGACATGCCGTGGAACTGTGTGAGTTCATGAATATTTCTTCATCGTGTGTACACTGCAGTACGCTGGGACGAGGAAGACACGACAATTAGCGCTCAAAGTGCGTTATCTTTTTTACTTTAAAATAAAATAAAAACTCAACAGCAAGAGTCGTGCTGATGCGCTGGCATAACATAATAAAAAAAACAGAAACAAATTCAGGATTGTTTTAGGCGAGGGCAAGGATGAACCGTGTCTCTTTTTGACGACATTTTATTACCACAAGACTTGCTAACGCGTAAGTGCGGCGCCCGCGACGCATCAAACTTAGTACCTTCTCATGTCACCAGCGGCAGTGATGACTGCACTCATTATTGATGGCACTGAGGCGTACAGTGACTCGACGAGCGATGTATTCACTCCCAGGAAGTCTCACCCGCTGACGATGACAGACCACAACTGAAATTCGGACAGCCCGGGTAGA